AGAAGACCTCATCAGAATACATTCAATGTAGTCAACGTTGATTAAAATGCGTGTGTATATATAATGTGAGATGAGAAGGGGGTAAAATACAGGATGTATGAACCTTGTACTTTATATATCTCACTATAATATACTTGTGAGAAATTACCCATACAAACTAATTTATATTGAAGCATCTACATCTACTGTTATTCATAAACTTACACTGGTATATTTACTGAAGCCGTTGCTTGTTTTAACCAAAAATTTAACATACTGGCTATTTGCACCGTCATGATGCGTGTTATTTATGGCTGCTAACAACGGTACGGATAGAATAAGACATAATAGGCCCACTAGTTTTTTGGATTAAATTTTTTGAAGTGTGAAGCCATTTTGATTGTCAAGAATGATATTAGGGTTATGTAGGGATTTTTACTCTTAGTCCTTGGTTCCTGATCTTTTTGACTCTACAAAAACCTTTTATCTTGTAATACTATACTCTGCTCTACCATCTTCCTGAAGAATAAACAATTGACAGTGAATAGAGTACAATGGTCAAGACATGGATCAAACCAGGAACTAGTTTGACAGACAAGTTTCATAAATTTATTCTTTCATATCAGAGAACACTCATTGAAAAATTGTCTCAAGAGCTGCTTAGCTTATCCCAAAGTGTGCTCAGAAGGATCCCAATCTTGGGAATAAGGGATGTATTCCACTGATATATTAGCTCAAACACAATTCTAAATGTTAACTTTACTGTAACAAGAACTTTTTGCAAAGTTCAATCTGTGTATGAAGCCCTTCTGGCAACAATTAAGAAACTTTCAGTACAAAACTTTAGATAACAATCATAAACATCTCTTCCTGTATTCAAAAGAAATTATTATATTTTTAAAACATGAAAAATTGCATGCTGAAACCATTTATATGAAATGTAAACTAACTTTGTTAAATTTCAGACAAGTATCATTTTTGTTATCAATTTAAAGTTTTTAAAAGAATTATAAAAAATAAGGTGTTGATGTTATTGCTCTGTTTATAAACTTTTTTCACCACTTTGATTTTTTGATTTCTTAGATATGTACTTATCATTCCAAAAATTTAGATTATATAGTTGATTTCTTGACATTATTTTGGCTTTTTTTTCTGAAGAGAGATATGTGCTAGCTTCATAATAACTGAAATTATGTCTAAATCCCCATGCGTTCAATGATTAATGGGTTTTTGTTATATTGTGAAATCAATTTTGGAATATTTATGCAAGATTTAAAATTCTGACATGTTTTTTTTTAAAAAATAGTGTGATTTTCAATATTTGAGAATGATATGTGTTAGCTTCATAATAACTGAAATTATGTCTAACTCAGTCTCCAAGCGTTTATAATATATGAGGTTTTGTTGATATTGTGAAGTAAATTTTGGAATTCATATGCAAGATTAAAAATTCAGACTTTTTCTTTGGTCTGAGTTTCAAAATTTGGTAAACAAAAATTTCTTCATTAGCATTATATATAACTCTTTATAATAATTTGGGTAATTTTGAGATAAAATCATCTTTTTGTACAGTGGTGTAACCTATTTTCGTGGATATATGGATTCAACACCGAATTTCATCAAAGTAAAAGAAAAGTAAAAAATTTTTATGTCTTAGATGTTTCCTCAGATATTCTACAAAATAATAGAAATTGGTTTATTTCGATTTTCTTAATGAATCCTTCAGTTTGACCCATATTTCATGAGCAACCAACTCGGGAACTGCGGCAGAATGCGTCACCTATTTTCGTGTAGAATGTTTGATCTATAAATAAGTCTAGAAAAACATGTTGTATGTATGGATACCGGGTGGTATAATTAACTTCTCTTAGTATTTATCTTTAATATCAATTCATTATAACTAGTGACAATTCCTTCAAAGAATCACGATTTAAAAAAAAAATAGTGACTGACAAAATATGATACGTAGCGTGATTTATTGCTAAAATTCACTGAAACAACATAAGAATATGGTCCAATTTGTGTTCCATAGAACTTTTCTGCTGACATGCAATCCGCTAGTTGATCATGTGACTTCATTCATTGGATTATATTCTAGCAGACGACACTTGGAATTCCAATTACCGCTCGGGATTATAATGAAATTCGGCCGATAAAAAATGGTGACGTTTGGTAATAAGTGAAATCCGCCATTTTGTATTTGTCAAAGTATACATTAATACATTTTACCTTGCTTGAAACTACTGGATTCATTCTACTAGCTGATATTGTACAGAAAACCCATTTTTATTAAATTAAAGTAATGCGGAGGTCGAGCAAAGTCGCTCATGTAAATTATTAATCATTTCCGAAAATCCACGAATAATAGGTTTCCATGAAATTAGGTTACTTGACTGTATGTCATAAACATATCTGTCACTGAACATGCAAGAAAACTATTTTTTTTCAGAATATTTGATTTCATTGAATTAATGGAAAAGTTTTTATAAATAAAGATATGGTTTCCTCTGTTTGCCCTATACCTGATCTGGGAAGCTGTGACATCCAACCAGTTAATGTGCTAGAGGGCAACAATTCCCTCTGACAATTATTTTATGATGAATTGATTCATTTTCATAATGCATACAACACAATTATTATTGAATCAAACAGTTTAAAATCCAATCTAACAGTTTACATGAGGTATTGATTGTTAATAACAAGATATAAAGAACTTTCAGTGCTAAAAACAACATGGAAATAACATACTAATAACAAGATATAAAGAATTTTCAGTGCTAGTAACAACATGGAAATAACATACTAATAACAAGATATAAAGAATTTTCAGTGCTAAAAACAACATGGAAATAACATACTAATACCAAGATATAAGAATTTTCAGTTCTAGTAACAACATGGAAATAACATACTAATGACAAGATATAAAGAACTTTCAGTGCTAAAAACAACATGGAAATAACATACTAATAACAAGATATAAAGAACTTTCAGTGCTAGTAACAACATGGAAATAACATACTAATAACAAGATATAAAGAATTTTCAGTGCTAAAAACAACATGGAAATAACATACTAATAACAAGATATAAGAATTTTCAGTTCTAGTAACAACATGGAAATAACATACTAATGACAAGATATAAAGAACTTTCAGTGCTAAAAACAACATGGAAATAACATACTAATAACAAGATATAAAGAATTTTCAGTGCTATAAACAACATGGAAATAACATACTAATAACAAGATATAAAGAATTTTCAGTGCTATAAACAACATGGAAATAACATACTAATAACAAGATATAAGAATTTTCAGTTCTAGTAACAACATGGAAATAACATACTAATGACAAGATATAAAGAACTTTCAGTGCTAAAAACAACATGGAAATAACATACTAATAACAAAATATAAAGAACTTTCAGTGCTATAAACAACATGGAAATAACATACTAATAACAAGATATAAAGAATTTTCAGTGCTAGAAACAACATGGAAATAACATACTAATAACAAGATATAAAGAACTTTCAGTGCTAAGAACAACATGGAAATAACATACTAAGAAAAAGATATAAAGAACTTTCATAATAATAACCAAATGGAAATAACATACTATTAAACATGATATAAAGAACCCTTAGTGCTAAGGACACACAAAGTTAAATAACAATATATAAAAACACACATAGTTATAAAATAACAAGATATGGTTATATAACAAGATATTAAAACACACTTAGTTAAGTAACAAGATATAAGAACCTCCATAGTTTAATAACAAGTCTAAGAATTTTTTTTATTATGCTCAAGGATATCAATATTTTTGTTCAGACAAACTCAAGATTTCATTATTACATGACACTAGTACTGCAGTAAACCAGACCAAATGTCAAGTACTGATATTAGACAGTAATTTTCCTTGTCAAATCAATCTGTTGCTAAGGCTCTTAACACAAAACTCTCCACACCAATAAATTTGTAGAACAGTTCTGTCATACAGAAAGAAATCACTTTTATTATTTTATGCTCTAAGGCATCTAAAGACTTTTTTAACTTTTATTATTTTTGAGCATACAGTTATCATATATATACCTTACTTTTGCACTCAAAGTGAAATATTTAACACCTGATGCCATTCTACATCTGAGTTGATCCACTTCTCCACAACAATTTGTAGAACAGTTCTGTCATACAAAAACAAATCATTTTAAAATTGACTGTGTAAGGCACTTCAAAACGTTTTTACTTTTGTCATTCATTAGCATACAATTGTCCTTGATATACTTTAATTTGGCACTGAAATGCAGAAATTTGGCACACCTGATATCACTCTACAATTTGGCCAATCTCATTACATAAAGAGTTACACATATTTTGATAAGGAATATGAATTTGGCAATTAGAAACATGAGTTATAGAATCCAGGCCCCATATGCTCGAAACGATCTTAGCGTAAGGACGTCTTAGGGTCTTAATATCCTAACATTGTTTTTAGGCTTTCCTAGCGCTATTCAAGATTGTTTCAAGAATACCGGGCCAGATTCCTTACTTGAAGCAAAAAAAGTACTGGTCATCTTTCACATTAGGTGATCTGTAAGGATTAGTATTCCTTCCCTAGTAGCACAAGTGTGGACTTAAAAAAGAATTAGATTTAAAGATTAAATTAGATTTAAAGATTAAATTAGATTTAAAGATTAAATTAGATTTAAAGATTAAATTAGATTTAACGCCTTTGTAATTGTCTAAAAATCTATTTATATTAACTTAATACAATCCAAAGTGTTTAATGTTGATATGTGTGAAATACTTGAAACGCAGTCTGCAGAAGTCTGCTTAGTTCAAAATACTTTAGCTTCCTGACCCTATGTCAATTGCATATTGTATCATTTTACAATTGAATATTACTTGGTGGGTGGTATGGTAGACCATATGTAAAACTTCATTTTATATATATATTGCCTTAAAACGGATGTTTCCATCTTATTTAATCATTCTTATTTTACATTTCAGGTCTTATTTCAACAACTGATCGTGAATTAGATCGTGAAACTCAAGATGAACATGCTTTAGAGGTTAGTGAGATTTTTCATATTCTTTTTTGACAGCTTGGCAAAGGTCGCAATTTAAAAGGAATTTTGGAAGGTGTTAACAAATCTGTTATTTTATATGCAGTTATTGTAGAATTTATTTCTGAAGACAAAAATATGATATCTTTTGATATTTTGACACTTTGATTGTTAAAATTGGCACGGAAGAATATATAACACAGGGAAGATTATATAACACTGTGTTTTATTTATTAGTAGATGTGTAACACTAGTTTGTTTAAGCATGTTAAAAAAAGGTTTATTTATGCAGATAGGCAGTAAGATAGTTATCTGCTACATGCTAATTAACGCTATTTCTATGAATGTGTTCAGAGCTAACATACAGAAGTCAGCTATAAATTTACTGTTTTATCTCTTCCATGACAGTATTTATTGTAAATGGTTCAAGATTGCTTGTTTTTAACGCCACATGCCTGGTGGTCTGTAGACTTGAAAATATTTAAAGAGTTGTTAAGTAGTTTATACCCAATTTCTTCTGAAATCTCTTCTTACACATGCCTTTAATTTCACTCAATATGCAATGAATATATTCATAAGATGGAAATTTTATTTTGAAATATTTGATTTGAACTTTATTTTTTTATTTAAACTCTATTTAAGGTGTAAGACTGGAAATTTTGAAACTTTTGAATATGGAAATTTACAATTTATGATAAATGAAAAAAAAAATCTAAGTTTGTTTACACAAAACACTAACAGCATGTATGCATTTTTATTACATAAAATGAATATTTATGAGGTTATAACCTAATAAAGTGGAAGTTTTTCACTGGATATTGAAATTCCAATTTTTTTCCAAATTTTATGCTGTACATCATTTGAGAAAACCTTATTGCACTCTGATGTACAACATTATGCTTGAATTAGGTCAAAAGAAGTTCTTAATATAAAGGAATTTTGATATAATATAAGTATGGTATAAATGGGAAACAAATTTTCTGAGTAATTAATAAAACATACAAACATTACTGGCTGCAGTATTAACATGGGCATGAAAATAAATACAAATGGTAAATTAACCTTGAAATATGTGCATTATTCTTAATGAATAATATAAAACATCTTGCATGATGCCATAATTTGTATACTGTTTGAAATTTTCATGCATTGTTGTTTGACTTTTTTTTGGAACAAGTCCATTTAATGTAACCAATTTTCACTTAGAAAAGTAATTCAGCAAACATTTTCTCAGAAAGATGCATTAAAGGGACAGGTTTGCCATCCGTTTGACCAAGCATACCCTAGTCTCAGAAACTGGAATTTTTAGCTAAGCTAGCGTTCAGAGTTTACCGTCAAAATTCTTCTTCTTCAAATACATTTGTGTCCAGAATTTCAAAGTTGAAAAAACGACTTGTCTTTTCTTGATACTTTACAGATATAGAAAAGACATATACAGAAATAGAAAGTCAAATTCCTAGTTTGAGGTATATTTAAAGGGATTGTGCAATTTTTGTGCAGTTCTAATACTTCTATTTACGTATATTCAATTATTATGAAATAAAAACTTAGATACATGTAATTGAAAGAGAAAGCTTACAGTCAGAAACCTACTTTGATATTGTGACTCAAGTTAAATATAGGCCACAAAATTGTCAGTTTATTTGAACAATTAAAATAATTATCATAATAAAGTATAATTATAATATATTATATAAATAATATTTATAAACAATGTGAAATGCTAAGTGTACATGTTTTATTTTATGGCCTATTTATAAGTTATGATACAATTACATTTATGGCATTTTGATATACTACATTTTTTAGCTACATAAAAATTTCTAAAAAAAAAAATCTATCTTTATAAATGCAGTAATCAAAGAATCTTAAAAATTGCTAAATTCGCATGGTTGTCATTTCTAAATTTGTGGAGCCATGACGTTAGAGTCCTTTTAATATTATGCAAAAATACTGTAATTGGGTGGAATAGTGCAGCTTTTATCAAAAATTTGTGGTTTGGAAATAGATATCTTAAAATTACTTAGAAAGTAGAACTTCATTGCTGAATCACTCTTTTATAAAAATTTAAAGATAAGACCTCTGGTATAAGATTTGAAAGCAATTTAATGTCTTCTAGATGTTCATTATTTACCGTGGTGAAGATGTATCTTTTTTCTCAAGTGGCATTTCTTGCTTGATAAAAAAGGTTGCACTTTTATGCCCTGAAAAAATATTTAGTAAAATTTGTTAGTCCATCTATTTTGAATTTACTGGTCTAAGTTAACAGTTAATTTATTCAGTTTGAGTCACAGTGACCCTATCACCATATCTTATCTCATCAAAGATACAAGACACTTCTTTCATCTTGAGACTTAAACTGCCTCCAGGTGGTAGCAACAGACAACCGAATGACGTCCACATTATTATCAGTATAGATTGATATACTTCAATTGATATTTTTATGGTTATTTTATGATTTGTAAATGACGTTTTGATTTGATGTATGTAAAATATAGGTTACAATAACTTTCAGTTGTATGTTAGTGGAATTTAATCAGATGGTCATAGGTCAATATTCGAAAATAGATAAAAGTACCTTCAGGTGGAAGCTGTCCAAAATATATTAACTGAAGAATGTTGCTTATTTCCTTGTTTTGATATTAACTAGTTCTGGAATTGAAACTTGATCTAAAAATTCATTTTCATGGTCAGGTTTTTGTCCAATTCATCATTTAGACTATTTAATCAAGATCAGAAACTATTTTTATATATTAATTTAATTTTCAAGTATCATTTTACAATGTTTCTATAATTTGTAAGTATGCTTCAGAGAAAGAATTGAAAGACACCCTGAAGTACAATATTTCAGATGTAGCAGCTAGAGATGGATATATTAATGAAAAGATAGGTCCAAAGACAAAAAATATCTTGCATAATTTTGACTTGGAAGATTCCAGCTTTTGCAAAGGAAATGTTTAGTAATGAGTTACAGGCTATACTTATTTACAATCTATAAGACTCTTAAAGGGACAGATTCACCATCAGTTTGAACAATTGTACCTATCTAAGCTAACCAAGAATAGTGTTCATAGCTTACCATTGAAATTTAAGCCTTTATATCTACGTTTGTCAAGAATTATCCGCTTTTGAAAGTTTAAATTACAACTTGCCTTTTCATGAGACTCTTCCATACATAGAAAAGGCTGTTGTTCCTAGTTATAAGTATTTTTTAATGAAATATGCAATATACGTGCAGTTTAAGTACTTTTTTACACCTTGTACTAATATTTAAGACCCAAATCAACCCTTGAAATGCCAAACCATGGCCTTTCATATAATGTAGCAATAGTAGTTTATGAGATTTTGGAAGTACAGAAACCAGAAATCTAAATTTAGAGCATCATTAAGTCAAGTTTGATCAGTGACGAATAGAAATCAAGTGTTGAAGTAAAATTAATTTGGAAGTTGGTCAAATTTACACACTACTTGTTGAGACTGACTATCAGCGTTGAAATCAACTAGCATTCTCAATCTTCTTGTATTCGGAAGTCATTGATTATTGCTAACAGTATTGTTAACAATTTGAAGCATCACTGCTTGAGTTAAAGGTGCTATATAACTTAAAGTAAGGCTTTATAACATGTTTTGATTGTTAAAAATTAACAAGATATTCAGAGAATATCTTAAGAATACTAGAAAATATCAGTAATAATATAATTAAGAATACCAAAGATCATCAATAGGATAATATCAGAAATATCATTGATAAGAATAATACTATCAATTATAAAATCAGTATAAGAATATGAGTAAGAAAATTAGTATGATGATAAGTAAGAATATCAGAAAGAATATCAGCAAGAATACCAGAAAGAATGTCAGTAAGAACATAAGAATATCAGTAAGAACATAAAAATATCAGTAAGAACATAAGAATATCAGTAAGAACATTAAAATATCAGTAAGAATATAAGAATATCAGTAAGAACATGAGAATATCAGTAAGAACATGAGAATATCAGTTCTCGTCAGTAAGAACATGAGAATATCAGTAAGAACATGAGAATATCAGTAAGAACATAATATCAGTAAGAATATCAGTATGATGATCAGTAAGAATATCAGTAAGAACATGAGAATATCAGTAAGAACATAAGAATATCAGTAAGAACATAAAAATATCAGTAAGAACATAAGAATATTAGTAAGAACATAAGAATATCAGTAAGAACATAGAAATATCAGTAAGAACATAAGAATATTAGTAAGAACATAAGAATATCAGTAAGAACATAAGAATATCAGTAAGAACATTAAAATATCAGTAAGAATATAAGAATATCAGTAAGAACATGAGAATATCAGTAAGAACATGAGAATATCAGTAAGAACATAAGAATATCAGTAAGAACATAATATCATTAAGAATATCAGTATGATGATCAGTAAGAATATCAGTAAGAATATCAGCAAGAACATGAGAATATCAGTAAGAACATAAGAATATCAGTAAGAACATAATATCAGTAAGAATATCAGTATGATGATCAGTAAGAATATCAGCAAGATCAATTTAGTAAGGATATCAGTAAGAATATCAGTAAGATCAATTTAGTAAGAATATCAGTAAGAATATCAGTAAGATCAATTTAGTAAGATATCAGTAAGATGATCTCTTAGAATACCAGGAAATATTATAAGAATAGCATAAAATATTCATTTACTCATTGTGCAAACAATTTCATAGAAGTCACAATGTTTCGCTTGTCTACCCTTCAATATGATTAAGATTACATTACATCCAAGATGTATGCGTCATCATTCTCTTTAAGTTATTGAACAAGCGTAATAAAATGTAGATTTCTATAAAGAATTGAGTAATGGTACTATAAAACAAGACATAATTGAATTTAACTCCTTGGATCTGTTCAGTTTCTGATATTCCCTCAAGCTATAGATAATCTGGTTACATTAAGACAATATCTTGACAATGTCATTATTGAAAACTTGATCAGGAAACACTTTCTTTGACAGTAGGGAAGTCTTTATTATCTTCTTTCTGTTTTCTTATTTTACAGCTGCCTTGGGTCAGATTCACCTGTTGTAGAATTATTATTTAGAAATTCCTGTATTTAGTTCTGGATAAATTTATTACAGGAATTTAAAACTTAAATGGTTATTGTTTGAGTTTAAAATCAGTTTTTGCATAATACTGATTAACAGTTAAAAGCCTATGGTTATTATGATTATGACATCACTATTGCAAAAAAACATCATGTTTGATTAGTTAAAAGTATTATTTAGGGCTACCACATATTACATGTAAATCTCAATTTCAACATTTGTCCCTCCATTAAATCAGCCTGCCCCCTCTTTGTAAGCCCCTGTCTCAGTGATATTGATCAAGAATTGAGTGTAGTAATCTCCAGGAAAAAAATAAACAATAATTATCCATAGCTTTGTTGCGTGTCTAATGTAATAATTAAGTAGGAATGGTTTTCAGCCTTTCATAATAATGCTGATTTCTTTTTGATATTCCTATACCTTAATATATGATATCAACTTCTTTTTCTGTAGTGTCAGTTAAAAGAAATGAGAATAATCATTTTATCAAGTCAAATGAGATTTATATGTTAATTGGATGCAAATATTCAGGGTGTGTCTTTCTAGGATGAACTTAGATTCTATGGTCATTTTCTGTCTATTCATTAATTTCCCACCCTACATTTATAAACTTGTAAATACAAAATCTGCATTTGTAATAATTCATTATAAATTGTAAGAAAACAGTGAACACATGCAGTGATAAATAAAAGAAATTCACACAAAGGAAAAAGTGAAACTCTGTAATGGCATTTTAATACATTTTGCTAACAGACAGAAAGTAAGCTGTGGGAATTCTAGTGATTATCATGAGAGGCCACAAAATTACATATTCTAATTAAACTTTTGTTTATTTTTAAAAAATTGATACAATGTTTTTTTGTAATGTATCTCCCACAGCACAGAAGCCATGAATATCTGTTTTTCCAGTTCTTTTTGTCTAGGAAGTGTTTCGCTGTCATGGTTCCCCAAAGTTTTGGGAAGGAATCATCTCACTTCAACAAATTCCCCAAATATAGTCAATCTATCCTCTTAAGCCCAGTTGCTTAACAGTTGCAGAAAAGTTTGAAGTAAAACTCATTGTCATTAGTATTTCAAATGGAGATAAAACTTCACTGCACTGAAAATAAAAAAATACAGAACTACTGATGCGTACAATGGATAAATTAAAAAAATTTTTCTAATATTTGATAATTATGTAATTTTTTGGTTTATTCTCGTTTCAGATTACAATTTCTGATAATGGCCGACCCAATTTACAATCCACAACTCGAGTTATTGTTAAAGTTACTGATGTCAACGATAATAAACCAAGGTTTTTAACATTCTTTAAAGATGCCTATGTTCGTATCCTGGAGACATCAAACAGCAATTCCAGACCAATTTACAGAGTTGTGGCTTTTGATAAAGACGATGGTCCGAATTCATTTATTACCTATTCCATAGTGAAACCCAATAATTCACCATTTAGTGTTGATAGCAGTACTGGTAATATATATGCTATTAGTAGTCTGGATCCACGCAGAGATTATGTTTTGCAGGTTTGTACTTAATTTGTATGAATTACCTGAATTTGGCAATATTGGCTTTTCTGAGACTGGGAGCTATTGTGGCTATATGAGTTAGACTTGCTTGGCATGAGTTGAGATGATACCTTCAGATTTTCCTACCGCGGTTCCCACTTTCCAACTGATGGGTCAATGATATGCTACATTAGCTGAACAACAAGATTTTTATGCATTTGTTTTTTTTTCAAATGATACAAAAAAAGCAAAACGAATATTTTCTGAAACTAATATATACATTGAAATTAATGGGAAACCAAGGATTGTTCATCTGTAGAGTAAAATAAACAGTTAGAATTAACGAGACCAATATATCTTTCACAGAAGCTCTTCAATATACCACACTGTTAAAGCATTAAATCTTACAGTTACGTTATTGGTTGTTTATGTGCAATTTGTAAATATTGAAGAAGTCAATTACTATAGTAATATATTATTATTATTCAAGCTATTAGCAATACACAGTTGGAACCAGGGTGTTGTATACATATCTTAAAATGTATTGTTATTATAAAAACTAATAGATTAATTAAGTGGGGTGTTATATATGATTAAGAAAATATTGTTATTTACTATTGACTGATACAATCTGAATAAGATTTCTTGCACATTCCAAGGGGAACCACTGTGGATCAGTGAGTTTGATACTTGTTTGTGATGCAGGTAGTGGGGGTGACGGACATGGAAAAATGGTTGCTCAGATCGATGTTCCTGTGTATTACTGTTGTGTTCGTTGAATATACTTCATCATTTGGAAATCAAAGAAAAAGGGGATCTGGGATAATGCCGCAACTCTGGCAAAATGTCCCTCATTGCATACTGCATCACATTTACTATTTTCATTAGCCCATTTGGGTTCATAAAAATAGGACATAAACTCCAGCTCATTTCGTATAAGCCTAAGTCCCAAAGATGTGCTTTCGTAACATTAATTAATCAAAAAGGTTACAACCTAAAATTTCTAAGATGCCCTCTGCCTGTGCTTTAGTATCTTTGTCAAAAGTTACAACTTTTACTCTTTAAGATTTACATGTTACAACTAGACTTGCATTATTTATAACCTACTATCATTTTCCAAGTTCAACAAGATCATTCAACCATCTTACTCTCTTTGATCACAATTTAGAAAAACAAACCTGTACAAGTAATGATTGTCTTTTTTTCAATGTAAACGACATTGTTCATCTTAATTAATCATACCCAACATGACTTAACATAAGTAAGAGTAGCTAACATGTTGTTTTTGTGCCTTAAAGAATTTTTACATCAGTTTATCGACTGTTCGACAAAAACTGCTCTGTGAGTTTACAACTTGCTCGCTAACCTGAAGGTCCAGGCTTCAATTCTGTATAGGTCAAGATAATACCTTAGGATTTTTTTCTACCTGGTTTCCCCCTGTCAGTGGTACAGTTTGGAAGTACTGACATAAAAAAAGTGGCAAATGTGCTAAATAGTGACAACGTTGGTTATAATTTTTAAAATTACCATATCTAATAAATGAATCACGATTCTTATGGCAATAAATCAATTTAATTTTGAGGTAGTTGAAGAAGTTGATGTTAGAGAGATTTGAAAAGTTATGAATATTGTAAGAAGTAGACTGCACTTTTTATTGTCCCTATGTCTTTGTTAAACTAAATTAGTATCTTATTTTTCCATAAGTTAAAATTCCGAATCTGAAAATATAAGAAGAATAATGGTTCCAACAGGAACCAGGTTAGGTCTACTGATCATGAATAATTTGAAATATTGAAATTATAAAGTTGAATACCTCCAAAATTACACATATTTAATTTTCTAAATTTCAGGTTAGAGCTACTGATCATGGTTCACCACCAAGAAAATCTCAAACTAAGATTAGATTTTCAGTTTTAAAACGTCCCAGATCATCTCAACATGCTCCTTATTTTGATGCTAAGAACTATTCAGCTATAATAACAGAGAATGATGTTGTGGGAGAATACATCATTATGGATGTTACTGCTACTGATGATAATGATGATATATGGTACTTTATTGATGGTAAGTGATATGATGTTACCATATTTAACTATTTGAACCAGTGCTGGCACGATATGTCGGTTTCAATACAACGATATGAGTATTGTATCGCGACATCATGTATCGATACTTGGCGATACCTTTTATTCCATAAAAAAAGGTGTTTTATAATATAACAATTTTTTTCACTGAAATAGAAACTTTTTATAAGACAGTGGACGTTAATCACTTCTATCAACTATATTACCAAATATCACAGTTATAAATTAATAAATATAGAAACTTTTAATAAGACAGTGGACACTAACCACTTCTATCAACTATATTACCAAATATCACAGTTATAAAGTTATGAATTAATATATATAGAAACTTTTAATAAGACAGTGGACGCTAACCACTTCTATCAACTATATTACCAAATATCACAGTTATAAATTTATGAATTAATATATATAGAAACTTTTTATAAGACAGTGGACGTTAATCACTTCTATCAACTATATTACCAAATATCACAGTTATAAAGTTATGAATTAATATATATAGAAACTTTTAATAAGACAGTGGACGCTAACCACTTCTATCAACTATATTACCAAATATCACAGTTATAAAGTTATGAATTAATATATATAGAAACTTTTAATAAGACAGTGGACACTAACCACTTCTATCAACTATATTACCAAATATCACAGTTATAAAGTTATGAATTAATATATATAGAAACTTTTAATAAGACAGTGGACTCTAACCACTTCTATCAACTATATTACCAAATATCACAGTTATAAAGTTATGAATTAATATATATAGAAACTTTTAATAAGACAGTGGACACTAACCACTTCTATCAACTATATTACCAAATATCACAGTTATAAAGTTATGAATTAATATATATAGAAACTTTTTATAAGACAGTGGACGTTAAATCACTTCTATCAACTATATTACCAAATATCACAGTTATGAATTAATATATATAGAAACTTTTAATAAGACAGTGGACGCTAACCACTTCTATCAACTATATTACCAAATATCACAGTTATGAATTAATATATATAGAAACTTTTAATAAGACAGTGGACGCTAACCACTTCTATCAACTATATTACCAAATATCACAGTTATAAAGTTATGAATTAATATATATAGAAACTTTTAATAAGACAGTGGACACTAACCACTTCTATCAACTATATTACCAAATATCACAGTTATAAAGTTATGAATTAATATATATAGAAACTTTTAATAAGACAGTGGACGCTAACCACTTTTATCAACTATATTACCAAATATCACAGTTATAAAGTTATGAATTAATATATATAGAAACTTTTAATAAGACAGTGGACTCTAACCACTTCTATCAATTATATTACCAAATATCACAGTTATAAAGTTATGAATTAATATATATAGAAACTTTTAATAAGACAGTGGACGCTAACCACTTCTATCAACTATATTACCAAATATCACAGTTATAAAGTTATGAATTAATATATATAGAAACTTTTAATAAGACAGTGGACTCTAACCACTTCTATCAACTATATTACCAAATATCACAGTTATAAAGTTATGAATTAATATATATAGAAACTTTTAATAAGACAGTGGACTCTAACCACTTCTATCAACTATATTACCAAATATCACAGTTATAAAGTTATGAATTAATGTATATAGAAACTTTTAATAAGACAGTGGACGCTAACCACTTCTATCAACTATATTACCAAATATCACAGTTATAAAGTTATGAATTAATATATATAGAAACTTTTAATAAGACAGTGGACTCTAACCACTTCTATCAACTATATTACCAAATATCACAGTTATAAATAACTAGGTAGAGCAGCTGTGTTGAAAGTGTTAATGCTGGATTGGAGCAAAGTTTTAACATTGTCAATCTCAGCTATAACCAATGACATCAGGATAATGATAATATTTGCAACTGGAAATGTCAACATGTCCTGAAAGTTAAAATAGTGTAATAAGGGTAGAATTTGGGAAATTGATGGAAAAGTGTACATCAGATTTCAATTCTGTAAAGAGATACAGATAGCTGATTAGAGAGCTCTATAAAAAATATAACTGATTGTACTTAGATTCTTATTTATTTGCCATTTATATATATATTGGGTACATATAACTAGCATAATGATTTCAAGATATGTTGTGCAAATGTTTAAACTTTCTATCAGATGCAATTTGGCATATGTCAAGATTTTTGTAGCAATAAAATAACATGATGAGTCTATTCCATGTTAGTTTTGGAGGAGATGACTTGTATTTTTCAAGTGTTAACCATATCATATAGTTAACCTTTTTTATATCACAAATGGTGGAATTTTGTTTTTGCAGGTGGAAATGAAAACCACACGTTTGCTATTTTGCCTTCGACTGGTAGTTTATTGTTGGCTCGTAAAGTCGACCGAGAAAAACAAGCTTCTTACGATCTTGGAGTTTGTGCAACTGATGGCATTCATACCAATTGTACTTGGGTAATTCATCTATTTTATTCATTCTTTCAAAGATATATTCTGTCACTCTTTCTATATCATACAGCCATGGGAAAATAATTTTCTTGTAATTTTTTCAGTAGCTTTTTTGTGAAAAAGAAGTTTTTTAAAATTAAATTCACTTTGATATTTTTAAAGTCTTATCAGATTGAGGAAATACATTAAATATGATAGTTTTGGCAAAAAAGTAAAACATAATAATGTTAGGTCAAAAATCATTGATAAGAATTTCAGAGGAGTAATAGTTTTCTCTTCATTTATTATGAAAATAAACAGAAAACATTATCAGAAATCTTAAAATAACTCTCAAAGAGTTGAATTAAATTTGAGTGGCTTTATGACAATTTTTATGTCAGTTTGTTTTCCTAGATTTCATATTTCATTTTGTTCATTTGTATGCGGTTTAATTCATATTATTGAATGTTTAGGCCTACGCATCAAATTGAAAAAATTTAAATTTGCAGTGATGAATATTAAAGGCTCAACCCCACATGTATAATCAAACATGGTTATGCCATATAAGAATTGTTAATGGTTTATAATTTGCTCATAATTTGTCTACAAGTGGCAAGTATATTCATTTGTAATAATTCCTAATTGTTCAAAACATTAATAAATGCAGAAATCACACAAAAACATACATGTCCTTGGCTAGGAAAAATGAAAAAAATGGCAGAAATATAACAAAAGTAACAGTTTTATAAAAAATTTGAGATATTAAAATTTTCATTGATTTCATTTTGTTTTTTCAACTGAATAAAATATATTTGTTCCATATAGAAATTTGTGGACTCTCCTCCTTTAAATAAAGATTTTTGTTTTGGGTGTGACTGTACTTTAAATTATACACCTTTATGATTTAAAAACAAGTGCATACAGTATTCAAGTATGATAGAAATTTCAAGGACATAATTAAAAGACATTTTTATGATCTGCCACATGTCAGTCTATAGATTTCAAACTGAATGTAATGTTAGGAGCATATTTATTGCTATACATAGTAAAAATACTTTAAATACTATTTATTTAACAATTAAACTCTAGACTAAATAATTTCTCATTGCCATGGAAACTACTAAATCATTTTAAATTTTCTAATATTTTCAAATGTAGTGAAATATATGAAAACTATTTTTAGGTGTATTTTTTATATTTTATTTTGATGAATGCTAATTTTATCATCATTCATAAATAAGCCATTATAATAACTATTCGATGCAGGATATTTAACCTTGAACGACATTTAAATAATGGAAGACATAAGGATTATTAATCCTGAGTTTTATTGTGTACAATGTTTCAATGTTTCCATGTACATACTGGAGATGACATTTTAAAATTGTTGAAACGGTTGTGTACAATAAAAATCTGGAGTAGTACATCAAAAAATTGTGTTTTGTTATTCAATGTGTAGAATCTTTTATTCATAATCTGTAGTAAGGAATCGGAGCACTTTAGAAAGCATGTTGGTCTAAACGCATATTTTACATTAGGTATCTGTGAAAAGTAATAGATCTATAGTATTAACACTTGAGTAGCCATGGGAATTCTCAGTAGAGCCAAAGATTCATGATGCTAAGACTAGTATAATCTGTAGAAGAACTGTGAATTATAGACAGATATCTCAGGGGGGTTGAAGAATAAATGACACTTAATAAGAGTTTGTCTGTTGTATCACTCTAGTTCACACCAAGCCACTCTATACTTATCTCAACTTTCAAACATTGCTATAGATATTGAACTATAATTTAACAGGGAGCTGATGACATATTTTAATAGTATTATCAAGTCAATGTCTTCTTACAGTCTTAATTATCCCCCAGGTTGTTTTCAGGGTTAATTTTGTACTATGAACTATAATCTCATGCTGTTTTGATTATTTGATAAATATAAAAATCCACACAAGCAAGACAATTCCTTTAATCAAAATCTGGTCCAAAGTAATGCTAGGATTGTTATAAGATCATTGTATATATCTGATCTTCATTCCTTTTACAGGATTAAAATTCTGATATCTACCATTGAAATAAGAATAGATCTATTGGGGAGTTTTTTCAATCTAAATTTCAGATCTAGTAGTTCTATCTCTGAAACTTGCCGTTCATGATCTGCAAAAATTGCTATCTATTACAATTCTAGTCAAATAAGATATTCAAAGTCAAAGTCTGTGACATTGTTAAAGGAAAAATGATTGTAAGAAGAAATTAGATAAGGCTTATTGATATAGAGAGGAAAAACCTGTCAAAATATAATGATTTAGATCAGTTTGCAAAACATTTCTGTGAAAATATTCAAGGATATTGTTGCGACTTTCTTATTTGAGTTGGCCAGTAATTCATAGGTACCAAAACTTTTAAAAGATACTTACCACTAACTTTCTAACAACATCCCAATCTAGGTATAGTTATGTTCTTAATTACACAACAGGCATCTAACAATAAGCTTAATGAGATAATGGTGTTTAAAAAACCAAAAAAATTCTAACAAATTTTCTTAGAATGTAGCCAAATTCTGGGTTAATTTGTTGAAAGATGAATGAGATAGCAGAAATACTCTGATAATTACTAAACACTAACATTGTTGTTTTGGTATTATTTTTAGGTCCATATTAGAGTGATTGATATTAATGATAATGAACCAGAACCACTAAAATTATTGTTTTAGTGTTATTTTACTTAGTACTTACATTATTGTTTTGGTATTATTTTACTCACCACTAACATTATTGTTTTGGTATTATTTTACTCACCACTAACATTCTTGTTTTGGTATTATTTTACTCACCACTAACATTATTGTTTTGATATTATTTACAACCACTAAAAGTACTGTTTTGGTATTATTTATAACCACTAACATTATTGTTTTGGAATTATTTACAACCACTAACATTCCTGTTTTGGTATTATTTTACAACCACTAACATTATTGTTTTGGTATTATTTACAACCACTAACGTTATTGTTTTTGAATTATTTTTAGGTCCATATAAGAGTAATTGATATCAATGATAATGAACCAGTCTTCTCTCAAGATACCTATATAGCTGAAATATCAGAGAATGCTGATATTGGGCAGTCTGTCGTCCAGTTGTCAGCTACTGATGCCGATGAAGATAATCGTGTATTTTTTACCATCAGATCATCGGTCAATCTGGTCAGTCAGAAATTGTTCGAAATAGATGAAAGACAAGGTAAGTGTTTATTTTTTTAAATTGGCCGGAAATTTTGACGTCCCGATTAGAAGATTTATTTCAAATGATATTGATATGTGTTAAAATAACATGAAGTATTAGTCTTAAATACATTATAATAACGTAGTTCCGTGTTTGAAGATAACAATCTATGTTATTCTTTGTAATTAGAGAGTTTAAGGCAGGTCTTCTTCTAGTTCTGGCCACATGTTTTAAACATTCTAGGTTAAAAGATTTGAAGGATTAGAATGAATTACCCAGTTTGACGTACTCAATCTTAAGATCATTTCTTTCTATTAATGGGAATTTCAAAAAACATATATTAGCCTATGTACATGATTGACATTTATTACGTCCAAAAAAATACTGAGCATGTTACAAAATTGCATTTTTCTTGGCTGTAAAACTTTGCTTCATATCTTGGTTCAATTTACCAACATTTAAACACTGATTGTCGAATCATATATGCTGTATTTCTTAAAGTATATGACTTTAACCTTAATAGTGACTTGCCCTTGACATAAGGTAAGGGCTTATTAGAGTGGTCACTAATTTTGATTCAGTTCAGTACATGAAAAATTGTCTTGGTACCTTTGATAATCATATATCTTTTTGTACCTCGAAACATTCATAATAATTTAGTTTCTTAGAAAAAATTCCATCTTTAACCTTGAGATGAGATTAACATGATTGACCTGGACAAGTTGATTTGTTGATATTAATTACATGTTTTTCTGTAAACCTGGAAGGAAACCTGGTAATTATAGTGTAATGAAACCAGATAATATTCTAATTAATTGAAGATAATTGATGCTTATCTTTTGATACTTCTGACAAAAACATCTTTTTCTCATGTTTTATATAAGACAAATCTCTGATTATCATCTCTTTTTCTTGTAACCTATTAATTAACGGTAAATTACTGTCTTAACTTCAGTTAAAGGTCACCTATCAGATACATGTTCTACCTAAGTATCTCAACCAATATAAAATAATATTTAAAATAGTTTAGTTGTAGTTCAATTTACATTTTTGAAAGAATTGAATTTGTTTTGGAATTACAACAATTATTCAAGATCTTGGGCACAGCTTGATTAGTTTATGGCAGTAAGTCAGTATTTTTTCGGTAGTTAAAAGACCCCAATTTTGACTTTTTACTACCTAAAATATAACTTACTGAAGCAAATGCAACATTTTTACTTCAAGAATAATACTAAAACTTTTCGTCTACTCGCCTGAAAAATATTATTTTGGGACTATTCCTTTAAATATGAAATAAGGTTGACATAAGTCAAACAGTTGGTAATTACAAAATAAACTACAAATTGTTCACAGTTTACGCTGATAATGTTTATACAACATCCTTCACTGGAAGACAAGTGACTGACAAAGCGATTTAGATTGGTATTAACAGGTGTTTTCATGGATCCAGTCAATACCTACATGTATTAACTAATCTACTAATATCAATATTCTACTAGTTCTTGTTTGTGTTGATTGATAAGGAGATTAAATTCCAAGAAAATATTTATGATTACTTCAGCTCTTTCTTTATATAGAATTGTGATTATCAATAAAATGCATCCAATTTTAAGAAACACAAAAGAAAACAAAATCTCATCCTTCTAAAATGTATTTAGTCTTTGATTCCAAAATGGTACATGCTTATGTTTTATGTTATTAAACATCAAAGATATGATCTAGACTCGTATTGAAAAGGAAAATTTTATTATCAAAGCCTGTATAAAACCTGTATTCATTTTCAAAAATTTGACCTGTAAGATACTATGAGTGTTATTAGCAAAACAGAGGGTGCTTTCCCTTAGGGAGCACCCGGTACCACTCTGGTGCATCCTTTTCAGAGAGTCTACATACCTAATATTATTTATATAGTATATTTATTATGGTAAAAAATAAGGTTTAAAATGTAGTTCTTAGAACTTTAAAGATAGGTAATCATTGATAAATAAAATAACTTGTTTCATCTGAATAACTTGTGTGAAGCTATCTATAGTATCTTGTTAACTCTACTTAGAAAAGGAAATTCAACCTTTAATGTTTGAAATCACTCATTAAATAGATCTTTAATACTTTAATTGATAATATCCTGTATCAACTTCTACAGTTTACATACACTGTTCTCTAGACAGAATTATAATAAATATATCACAGTTTGACTACTTGGTATCAGCATTAAAATAACAGCACTGAAGGCATTGAATGCTTTTAAAATAAATCACAGCAGAAAGCACAAGACTACACCTAACTTTGTCACTCATTTTCATCTTGAATGATTGATTGATGTTTGGGGTTCTATCTAGGCTACCCAATGGATTTTGTTGATTTGTGGATCGCAATTTAGATTCAAGCATATGACGGTCTTTTCCTTGTGACTAAATCTTATGACTTTCTCAAATTGGTGAAATTTTTAACTGAGCATGGTTACATAATTTGACAATCCATTTCAGAGTATTAAATAATAACGAGCCAAAAGCTTGTTCAGAATCACTCCAGTTTTGGAAAAAAACAATAAATTTCACACAACTTTTGCCTTTGGTTTAATAACAATTGATCTATCATGTTTCAATCATCTAACAAATTTTATAGATTGCAGATCGCATGTGTAGTTACCCAATTTGAAAGCTAAACAGAAAACCAAACATGTAAATCAAAATCATAATCAGACAGTTAAGGTGGAAATGTTTTTTGTTATTGAATATTTTGTACATTATTTTTCAGGTATCATCAAAGTAGCACAGCCATTAGATAGAGAAGTTCTTTCCCGTCATGTACTGACTGTTATGGTCAATGATCTGGGAACGCCATCCAAGCGAAGTTTTGCTCGTGTTAAGATTACAGTATTAGATGATAATGACCACAACCCAGTCTTTTTATCTCCTGTTTTCTCAGGAAGAGTTTATGAAACATCTGCAGTTGGTACATCTGTTGTTCAGTTAATAGCTACTGATAGAGATAAGGGAGATAATGCTGAAATAACTTATTCTCTGGTAGCAGGTGAGGAACTTTATGTATTGAAATTGCCCAAAACAATTTCATTGACTGCAATCTGTGAGATTTTGTTCATGATGCTTATTCTCTTTTTGTTTTATTTTTACGTGTTTTGTTTTAATCTTTTGAGTATTTTTTTGAGATGGAGCTTCAGTGTTACTGATATAACAACTTAGTCACTAGTTTCAGATGATGCTGTCTTAATGTCTGTCTTCAATTGCTCAGCAGTATTCATATTAAGAATTATGACAAATCTGTTGAATTTTTCAGGTAATGCTGGTGGTACATTTGGTTTAGATAGTAAACTTGGTCTGATAACAGTTGTTAAAGAACTAGACAGGCATAATCAAGATGGCTACTCATTGGAAGTGGCTGCGACAGATCATGGTACTCCACCACGATCCAGTACAGCTATGGTTAACATTGACGTCACCATATCTGATAACTCACCACCTAAATTCTCTAAGCTGGAATATATGGCAGAAATGAAAGAAAATCGACCAGTTGGAACAATCGTTTTGGCACTCCAAGCTTCAAGCCAATCATCTTTAGTGTATCAAATATTGCCATGTCTTGCAGAAGAGTTTTTTCTGGTTAATCCTAATTCTGGAGTGATTTCTACACGGAAAGAAATTGACTTTGAGGAACATAAATTTTTCAATTTTACAGTCAAGGCTACAAATATTGTAGAAGCATCATCAGAAGTTGCTGTTGTTATACATATAACTGACGCAAATGACAACCATCCAGTCTTTTTGCACGAAATTTACAATGGACACATTCGAGAATCAGATCCTACTAACAGTTTTGTGTTGGATGAAAACAACTCCCCATTGGTAATCCAAGCCAAGGATGAAGATTATGATGCCAATGCTTTGTTGCATTATGAAATCATTGATTTGAATGCTCAAGAATATTTTCTTATTGATGCAAACACAGGCACCTTACGTACCAAAACCACCTTAGATCATGAGACTATTAGCAACTTCAATTTCTCCATACAGGTTTATGATGGTGGGAAACCATCTCTAAATGCTCTGAAACCAGCCACAGTGATCATTAATGTCATAGATGTCAATGATTCTCCACCAAGGTTTCCCACTCACACCCATAAAGCCAAGGTTCTTCTTCCAACTTATAAAGACATCACAGTCATTGAATTAAAAGCCTCTGATCCAGATGGCAACAAAAACGAAGCATTAACTTATAGCATCATGGGTGGGAACGAAGGAAACAAGTTCACTATTGATTCCAAAACTGGTGTCATCACCATCCAAGATGAATCCAACATGAAGCCTAGTTACTATTTACGAGTAATGGTCACTGATGGCAAGTTCCAAACTTCAGCTGACATCAGCATCACTGTTGAAAAAACTGTTGACTATGGATTAAGATTCACAGAAGACCAGTATATTGTCTATGTTGAAGAAAATTCCAAAAAAGTTGATCGGTTGCTTGTGGTACAACCAGTTGGTCATTCCATCAATGAACATTTAACATTTAAATTGTTGAACAACAAGAACATGTTTTCTGTTGGACAGACGTCTGGTGTATTGTATACTAAAGGTGTACCATTTGACCGAGAGTTGAACAATAACTATACTGTTGTAGTTTCTGTAGAAGATTCACGACAACCACCACGCTATGCTCATGTAGTCATCAGTGTTATAGTGAATGATTTAAATGATAATGTTCCAATGTTTATAAACCAACCATATTACTCGGCTGTTTCTGTAGAATCAAAAGCTGGTGATGTCATTAAACAGGTATGTCACATAGTGCAGTTAGTTTACAAGTAGATTACTTAACGGTGTTTCAGTTTGCATAGAATAATTTGCTTTGTCTGGAGCTTATTTCACTAAAATCTAATTAAGGATGATTTCATTTTCCAGTCAAGCAAAGATATATGTGCGAATTTAATTGTTTTCATAGGGCTGATTTTGACTAATTCTATCTCCAAATAAATTACACTGTTTTGAATTCTACTTGGATATGCATGGATATATTGCTCAACTATAAGTTATTTTAGTTGCTCAACTACAAGTTATTTTAGTTGCTCAACTATAAGTTATTTTAGTTGGTATTTTTTTCGATTAATTCCATTGATTCACATTTATATTTTTATTTATAACTTCAGGTGACTGCTATAGATAAAGATTTTGGAGAAAATGGAAGAATAACCTACAGTCTGATACCAACTAGTCATGATAAATTTGATATTAATCAATATACTGGTGAAATAGTAGTGAAACAACTTACTATAGATGATGAAAACAGTGTGGTCATGTTAGATGTAGAGGCTAAAGACCATGGGGATCCATTTTACAGTGCCAGAGCTCAAGTACCGATTAACATTGTGAGCAGTTATAGTCCAATGTTTGATAAACAGTTTTATAATGTAACTGTACCAGAGAATGTTGTTCTCTACACACCAGTGACAAGTATACACGCTGTCAGTCCAACCAATCAGAAATTGATCTATTCTATCAGTGATGGAAACCATGATGAAGATTTTGCTGTTGACTTCAATACTGGTAAGTTTGATTCAGTTTTTAGATATTCCAAGTTTGAAATCTGTTGTGTTCCTTTGCAATGTGATCTGTTTGGACAGTGATCAATATGTTATAGAACCTCTCAGCTGAGTTTTTGGACTTGGATTCTGCTTCTGCTTCCGCTTAAAGGTTGGAGAACAACTTCGGGGACAGTCTTATCCACCAGTGCTATCACTATTTATATGTATGTATACCAAACAAAATACATATTTATTATGTAGACTCTCCTTATCAGGGTCTGGGGATGCAGAGTTCACTAGCCCAATTGTGTAGTGGTATCGGGTGATGAAGTACATGTAATTTGACTTGGTTAGGTGTAAATGTATATAGTCTTTATTTTTATTATATATTTTTCTAGGGTTGATGTCAGTAATGGGTGAATTAGATTATGAAAATAAGAAACAAGATACTCTTACACTACGAGCAACTGATGTTACATCTGGTAACTATGCTGAAACTAGAGTACATTTACATATCAAGGTAAATAACTCTTTTTTTTTCCGGCTTCCTTTTTAAATGTATGTCTTTTTATTTTAATTTTAACAAATTTTAGTGTCCATTGACATCTTTTAAACTTGTTCACAAGAATGGTTGAAGTTACATGTTGTATTGATGCTGGTACTCTACAGCAAAAAAGAAAACTATATTTGTCAGAGAATGTGCTGTGAACAAGTGAATGATATTTTATAATTTTAGGAGATGGGAATGAAAATATAGCTTGTGTATTGTACTTATTACATGTTTTTGTTTGTAGGATATAAATGACAATGAACCTATTTTTACCAGTATGACATATACAGAGGCTGTGTCTGAAGCCTTAGCTGTTGGTTCAACCATCCTTAAACTAACAGCCACTGATGCAGACGCGGGCATGAATCAAATGATAAGTTACAGTCTCGCACCAAATCAGGTTGACAACAATGATATGGAGTATTTTCATGTCAATTTTGAAACTGGGGATCTATTTCTTCAAAAGAAACTTGATTGTGAAGCACAAACAAGCTACCAATTTTTAGCTGTTGCTACAGATGGTGGAATGCCTGCTCTCAGCTCTACAGCTTTGGTCCACTTGATGGTTCTAGACACCAATGACAATGCTCCTCAATTCTTCCAAACATCTTTTGACTGTTCTATAACTGATCAAGCTCAACGTGGACAACTGGTCACAAGACTCTTAGCAACAGATGCAGATAGTTCAGATGTGAATAATTTAAGCTATATGATTATTGGTGGAAATGAGAAGCAGACGTTTTCTATCGATTCTGCTTCTGGTTTGGTCAGTATTTCTGGGCAGCGCAAACCAGTTTTTCAACCAGTTCACTCCCTGAATATCTCAGTCACTGATGGTGTCTACACATCCTACACTAGACTGACAGTATCTGTTCAGAATTCTAATAGACATACACCACAATTCAGTCAAACTAAGTATGAAGCTGAGTTCTATGAGAATCAGGCGCCTGGAAGCCTGGTTGGAACTGTGTCGGCTGATGATGAAGATAGAGGTGGTTATGGATTATTAACTTATTCTATTACCAGCGATATCATGCAAGAATTTTTCCAGATTGATGCTGACACAGGTTAGTTTTCAAACTCTTTACTGTAGCACCCTAAACTTCTGAGATGTACACTAAATGTACAGTGCATTGCATTCCTTCTGATCACTTCAGATGCAGAATTTTTTTAAATGGTGTAATCAAGGCTGAACAGAGCATACCAGTCATCTAATTGACACCCCTCAACTTCCTATTGACCTCTTCCACAGATACATTCTTTATATAAAAATGAACCGTATAATGTATTTTTATAAGAGCTCATTTGTAAAATAAGGGGTGTTTTTACTTTCCTGTCAAATCATATCCAGACTTTGTTGCAATCCTCTGAGTTTTCTAATATAACCAATAGTTTTACTTAAAGACAACAGGTATGCTAGTATTTGATTAAAAGATGAAAGTGGTTTATTCCACGTCTGATTTGATTTCTGTATATTTTAAAGGAGAAGTATTAAGTATGAAAGTATTAGATAGAGAAGAACAAGAGAGATACACTATTCCTATAGCAGCTACTGATAATGGTGGAAAGATGAATTTTACCACACTCTATGTTACTATTAAAGATCTGAATGATAATTTACCAAGTTTTAAGATTAAAGAATATAAAAGCAATGTGTATTATAATGCTGCAGTTGGAACTGAAATTCTTAAAGTGAGTCCCCCTTTAAAAAAAGTAGGAAGTTGTTAGCATGACTGTTTTCACTATAGTACTTTCCAAGTTCTTCTGCAGTTAATGAAGACATTGTTGGATATCTTTCCAGAGAAACAGCATTAAACTACTCTTTAGGATTTGGAAAGAATCTTAGGACATAGTGCATAGGACCTCAATTTATTTCCAATCTAATGACTGTTCACATTTTCTGTTTTCAGATTGAAGGTGATGATTTAGATGATGGTGAGAATGGTAAAATATTGTACAGTATTTATCAAGAAGAAGACCCTGATGTTAATACCATATTTGCTATAAATAGTAACACTGGTAGTTTATCTGTAAACTCTTCACTAGCTGATAAAGGTACAATTAATTACATATTCCCAAAAGTCTTTCTGATGTTCCATACAGTTGTCATTTGAAAAGTAAAAAATAATGTAAAGTTGCTAGTTGTCAACTCGTTCAACTTGTTGTTTATTATGAACTTGCTGTTTGTTGTTGACATGTTGTTGCACCTGTAAAACTTTTTTTTCAGAAAATGCTGTTTACCAATTTTTTGTTCGAGCTAAAGACAGTGGTGATATACCTCTAGAGAACCATGTTCCAGTTGAAATATTGATCATGGGTCCAGATGAAAATCCACCAAGTTTTGATCAAGACAGATATGCCTATTTTATCAGTGAAAATGCTGAAGTTGGAACCACCATTGCTACTATTAAAGCAGATGGAGAAGGTCCACTGATGTACAGTATTGTTTCTGGAGTAACAGAAGCTACAAACTCGCCACCCAAATTTACCATCAATAATTCTGGACAGCTGAAGATCATTGAAGCTCTTGACAGAGAATCAGTTGACACTTTCATGTTGACAATTCGTGCTTCAACTCAGACTTCTCCAGCTTTAGTTGCCAATGCAAAGGTGGTCATCAAACTCAAAGATGTTAATGATAATTCTCCTGTTTTCGATTCTGATCCATATATCATCACATTAGTTGAAAATACACCTGCTGGTGCTAGTCTCATACAAGTCCAAGCAGAAGACAAAGATGAAGAAAGTTTGTTAGAGTACAAACTGGGGGCAGATATGGAAGAGGAAGCCAACATTTTCAACCTTGATCCTGAATCAGGATGGATCACTCTTCTGACTTCAGTGGACCGGGAAGAGCGAGAAGAGTTCAACATTACTGTTGTGGTTTATGATAAAAATCTTGGAATTACCCAGAGTGCAACATCATCTGTGTCTGTCACTGTCACAGATTTTAATGATAATTCACCAGAATTTAACAGAAATCATTACAGTACTAGCGTCAACGAAGATGCTGAGTTGGATATCATATTTTTATCAGTTACAGCAACTGATGTAGACATTGGTCAGAATTCTGAAATTTCATATTACATCACCCATGGCGATAAAGAAGGACATTTTGACATCAACAGAAATGGTGATTTATTTGTCAGCAAGCGATCACTGGATAGAGAAAGTAAAAAACATTACCGGTTGACCATTGCTGCTACAGATGGTGCCTATGTTAGCTATGCTACTGTAGATATTGATATTTTAGATGCTAATGATAATAGTCCACAATGTTCTAAGGTTAGTACACTGCTATTCAAAAGATTTTTAAAGAGATGTGCCAGTCTTCTAGTGAACACCCCTCAACTTTCTAATGGACTCTTCCTCACATGCATTTTATGATTCTGTATCAATCAATATGATGCTGTACTATGTATTATTGGAAGGGCTCATTTGATAAATCAGGTGTTTTATTATTGCCTGTCTTAATTAAACCAGTGAGATGAATAAGTCTATTGAATTCATTCTGTTAATTTTTTCAGCTGATGTATACGATATTTGAGAAAGAAGATGTACCAGTTGGGAAAAGATTGGAATTTATAGAAGCTACTGATCAAGATGATCCTGCAACTAGGAATTCAAGATTAGAATATCAATTATTAGGAATTGGTGCAGAATCATTCTACCTTGATAGAACTACAGGTGAATTAAGATTTTGATGGACAAAATATACTAACTGTTATTCTTATGATGTTTCTTACACGTGATATTTCTTCTCTTTAGAGAACGTCATATACCAAGAACTTAAAGTAATATAAGTAAAAGCGTATGACGTTAATGTTGTATGACGTCACTTAGTAACGGCCAGTATACTGGCTGTGCAGGTATATATTGTGTAAGTTTGTAATCGGTAGGGTTGAATGCATGGGTTAAAAGACAAATAGCTATTGTTAACAGCATGCTTGCAGTCAAGTAAGTGATTGTAAGTAAATGTCCTACCTTAAAAATTGGGTACAAAGATGATTTGATTGGCAGATTGTTTTTTTTTTTCTGGTTGATGATGTATCATTGTGAAAGACTATTTTCAGATTGCTGAAAGTGGAATCACGGTTATATTTATATATATTCTCATACCACATTGTTTTTCTCTATTGTAGGTATCCTAACTACAGCTATAGAATTAGATCGTGAAACTCAATCTAAATATAATTTAATAGCGTCTGCTATAGATGGTGGAGGTTTATCTTGTACATCAGAAGTGAATATTTATATTAGTGATATCAATGATAATGCCCCGGTATTTACACTAACAGAGAATACTTTTAGTATTCAAGAAGATGCTAGAATTAATACATTAGTCACTAGAGTTACTGCTACTGATAAAGATTTAGGTAAGACATACCTAGAATACCTAAGTAAGACTGGGAAAATGGAGCCATGGTAGCTTGGTCAGTGAGTCTTTCTTGCTAACCTGAAGGTCCAGGATTCTATGGATCAAGTTGAGATAAAACCTTAGGATTTTTCAACCTTGTTTTCTGTTAGGGATGTAGGTAAGAGGCGCTGATATGGAAAAGCGTCTTGTTGTTCAGTTTGGACAATAAATAGAGGTCCTGTGTTCTACAGGCAGTGGACTTGAAAGATCCCTCAACAGTTAAAAATAGCAAAAAGGAGATTAATGCTGCTGTCCTTGCTAAATTTCCCTCATTGCAAACTGTATATAAGTGCAGAAAGAAGGACAATTAAACTCTTATTTTATTTTATTTCAGGTATAAATAAGAAGATAGTATATGGTATAATGGGTGATTCTAAATCTACATTCTCTATTGATAGTAATAGTGGTATAATTAGTTTAATTAGTCCATTAGATAGAGAAATAACATCACAACATATTATAACAGTTACAGCTAAAAATCTGGTAAATATGTGATATCATTTTGATCCTGCAATTGAATAGCAGATACAGCCAAATCAATTCAGAAAAAGTAGAATTATGATTCCATAATAGTTATTTAGAATATAAGATGTTCCATTTTCATTCTTGATTGTTTCAAATTTGATAACTGTGTTGTGGCTAATTTCCAACTTTCTTGAAATTTCAAGTTTGTTGACTTTGTGTAGAATGTTCACATAGGTTTATAACAAATTTTGTTTTTTGCTTCAGGGACCAACACCACTATTTAACTCAACTGAGTTAAGAATATTAGTATTAGATGTCAATGATAATAAACCAGAATTTGAACGGACTAGTTACTATGTTGAAGTACCAGAAGATACTAAGTTACAGTCTACTGTTATCACTGTTAAAGCCTCTAGTCTAGATATTGGTCAAAATGCCAATATTACCTATTCTATCATGGCTGGTAATGAACAGAATAAATTCAAGATTGATCCAAATAATGGTGAGTAGCCATGATCTAACTTGAAGAACGTCAATTTGAGTCTCTTTCAATTCACATTTTAAATTTGCTCAACATTATCAACATTAAATAACTGATTTCTGTAGGCTTTTAATGCTAAATTTATCTTTAAGTTAATAGAGAAATGAAATTTGTTTTGGGTAATGATTTGGGATCAAAAGTTTTACAAAAGCTTGAGTTAATCAAACCTTGATTTACTATTCAAATTAGGCAACAGTGCCTATGTTTAGAAAGTGTATACTCATGCTACTGTCATGGTACAATCCAACACAGGAATAGCATTTTCAGTTCAACTGAGCCCAAGCTGATATGATATTTATTTTCTAAATACCGGGTGATTATTTTCATTCATTAATAACATCCAGTATTCTGTTGATTATTGTAGGTGCAGTAATTGTTCAGGAACCATTAGATTTTGAGTTATCACGAGAGTATTTTCTGACTATATTAGCTAAAGATCATGGTGAACCTCCACTCAGTAATTCAGCTATAGTTAATATTAATATAACTGATATTAATGATAATAAACCCAGGTTCTCACCATCATCATATTATACTGTCTCTGTTAAAGAAGATCTGAAATTACATGAAGAAATCATTAAGGTGAGAAATCTTTCAAAAATCAAGAGAATGGCCTTAAGAGAATAATATTTTCAAAAACTAAATATTAATCGAAAAATCAGAAGACACATAAAATTGCGAAAGGTACTGTCTTTGTACATACATCGGTAAATCTGAATTAAATAGTTGATTTTTTTTAATATGAATTGGCATTTAATTATAAAAATACATAGATAGTTAGTTTTGCAAGGTTAAAAATTTGTCTCCTGATTTGCTTCTTTTGTGTGAATATGAATTGGCATTAATAAACATGGTCATATAATACTTCTTTGATATCTATTTTTATAAAGGGCAACATTAATCCAAATTTGGATATTTGGGGAAACATGTACAGAGAGCTAATTCTTGAACGCTTATATACCTTCCTGTATCAAGATTAAGGATTAGATAAAAGGGGATTACCCTATTTTATGCTAATGGGTGCCTTAATAATCATATCTGTAATTGTTTATTTTAGGTACTTGCTACTGATGAAGATGGAGAAAATAATAATAAATTAACATATTTAATACAAAGTGGAGATGTTTATGGTCAGTTTCATATAAATAAAGATAATGGATCGTTGACAGTGGTCAAATCTTTAGACAGAGAAATGGTAAGTTATCATTCTTTATTTCTACTCTAATATCTCAGAAGCTCTGATGATTGCTTGTTAGTGCCATTTTTTCTGATGGATACAAATGTACAACAATCGCGTTTCATTTCATATGTTTTTACAAGTAGATATTTCTTATTCTGAACAAATGTATTATTAAATCTCTCAATTTTCAGATGGATACATAAGTCCTTCAGATAGATTTATTATATTTCAGATGGATACATATGTCCTTCAGATAGATGCATTGTATTTCAGATGGATGCATATGTCCTTCAGATAGATGTATTATATTTCAGATGGATCCATATGTCCTACAAATAGATGTATTATATTTCAAATTGATACACATGTCCTTCAAATAGATGTATTATGTTTCAGATGGATACTCATGTCCTTCAGATAGATGTATTATATTTCAGATGGATACATATGTCCTTCAGATGTGCTATTCAATTCTCTTGCATTCTTTTAAATTTCAGATGGATACATATGTCCTACAGATAGATGTACGTGATTCAGGACAGCCAGTATTATCTAACTCTGCAGCTGTTAATATTAAGATATTAGATGCTAATGATAACCCTCCATTATTTAGTGAAAGAAATTACACCGCATATATACAGGTAAGACTTAATCACATTCTTTAAAGCTTTAATGGAAAATAATTCTTTCAAATTCTTGTAATTATCAATTTTTCCTTTGGACATACGACCTCATAACTGATCAGAGGACTCATTTCTAGTCCAAACTATCACATGCTGAAATGCATTGCTTAGGACTAATTTCCACTACCGACAGTACTAGCTGAAAGACATTACCTGGAAAAGAAGACACATTTAGATTCCTGACATTCACTTGCTTAAAGGCGAACCAATTTCCATCCTGATATTGCTGAGAAAAAGGGACTGATTTTCATTTTCATAGACATAGTTGAGAAAAGACTGTGACTTGCTGATAAACATTGCTGAAACTCTGAACTCTTACTGTGAGAAATAAAGACCTGTCTGTGGTCAGTCATCAATGAAAGCAGGATTAAAAATTATGACCATGATAACAGCAAACATTCAACAGGAAAATGCATGCTAGGAAGATAATGGAAATAAATTTGGACTAGTCAGCATGGGTTGATAGGTTTCTAAGCTTAAAAAGTGGGAAACACTACTGAATAGATCTGGCTGACTTTCACACAAGCTAGTTTTCACTTGCACTGTTTGATGGATGTTCTTGAAGTATTAGTTTGAAAGCTTTTTAAGACACAAATAAATGACAATATATATTCCCTATTTTTAATAGCTGGCCGATTTAGTAAGTATATCAAGAAAGCATGACTTGAATGACATGATCAAGTTTAGTGTTATTATCTTTTGAATAGTAGGCTAATCAGTTGTATTTTTATGTTGCATTGTGAATTAATGGCTAATTTACTGAAAATATAAAATTTGCATGAACAATTGCATGAATTGTGATAATGATAGAGACAATGTCATCCAAAAATATCATGATTCTTGTCTCTTTGAAGTGTCCGTGAAAAAATAATTTGCAGACTTTGTTTTGATAACTGCAGCATCAGTTTGTTTGGTAAATGAGCCATTTTGTGATGTAAATGTGTACATTTTAACATGTGTCATTATTCACATAGATTCTGTGTAAATATGTGCATTTTACATGTGTCATCATTCGCATAGATCTGTGTAAATATGTGCATTATCACGTGTCATCATTCACATAGATTCTGTGTAAATATGTGCATTATCACATCTGTCATCATTCACAAAGATTCTGTGTAAATATGTGCATTATCACATGTGTCATCATTCACAAAGATTCTGTGTAAATATGTGCATTATCACATGTGTCATCATTCACAAAGATTCTGTGTAAATATATCATGAGTCACATAGATTCTGTGTAAATATGTGCATATCACGTGTCATCATTCACATAGATTCTGTGTAAATATGTGCATTATCACATGTGTCATCATTCAGATAGATTCTGTGTAAATATGTGCATTATCACATGTGTCATCATTGAAATTAATTGTATATGTCAGCACTATCACTTTTGTCATTATTCACATCAATTCTATGTCAATGTGTGTATTATCACATGTGTCATGATGAATATCAATTCAGTTCAGTTTCAGCATCACCTGTCACGTCCTTACACATAAGTTCATCAAGTCTACTAAACATCCCTTTTTTTTCATTCAAGGCTATGCAAGAATGTAACACTTTGAATATCTTAATATCTCTTTTAGATGTGAAAATGTGTAAAATTTGTGTTGTAATTGTTTTATTAATTTGTATCTATGATGGTGAGCTGAAAAGTTCATAGGCATCCCCTCTCTTAGATTTTTCCATTAATCTATGTATAGTACATATCAATGTCATACATAAATCATACTTACATAAACTTATGCTTACTGTATGCATTGTTTACATCATAAATATTCTATGTTAAAAGCATCAACCTGATGTATTATTCATCAATAAGATTTGTTTTCATACATTTTTCATTCATATCTAGTGATTGTTCATAAGATAGGTTCATTACAACTTAAACTACCTAACTGAAAGACTGCATTTATTATTGCTCTGAATCTTCCCTAAATATGCTGAAAGATCATACTGATTATCATCAATTAGAAATAAAGCACTAGAAGGAAATTACGCAATTATTTACGTAACATTTCCGAAATATAGACATGAGAATAAGTTCTACTTGTCCGAATTTAGTAGGGCTGAAAATAGGTCGAATCAAGTAGCATGAAACTCTAAGTAACAATATTATTCAAGTTCTGGTATATAAATGCAATAAGTGAGTAACTCTATTGTTCATTTTTATATTTGACTATTTCAGGAGGGAAGTAAAGCTGGTATCAACATCTTAAAGTTATCGGCCACAGATGATGATCTAGAAGAAAATGGTGGACCATTCTTATTTGATATTGTCAATGGTAACGAAAATAAAGAGTTCCATATCAACAAAGATGGTGTCATTCTGACGTCTGGTGGAGACTTGAAGAAAAAGGTCAAGGAATCCTATCAGTTGACTGTTAGAGCATTTGACAGAGGAAGTCCAGTCTTATTCTCGGATGTTGTTGTGGACATCAATGTGGTAGATGAGAGCATGTACCCTCCACAAGTTCGTAACCTTACCATAGCCATCAGTTCGTATTTAGGCAAAACCATGAAAGGAGTCATTGGAAAAGTCAACGCTTTTGATTCTGATCCTTATGACATTTTAAACTATAGGATAGTGTCAGCAAATGACCATCTTTTTGATGTACATCCTATCGATGGGCGAATCATTGCCAAATCTGGATTAGATGCAGGAAGTTACAAGGTGAATGTGAGTGTAACAGACGGTCGATTCAACTCCTACAGTATTGTTACAGTAGAGGTCATGGAGATCTCAGAAGAAATGATGGACAGTTCTGTTACTATCCAGTTTAAGGAAATGTTCCCTGAACAGTTTTATGCCAACTATTTGAAAGATTTTCAAAAGATTCTGAAGCGCGAGTTAAACGTCCGAGCTAAAGATGTTGAAATTCTTAATGTTCAGCCTTCAGATGAAAGTATCATCAATAGATCAAGAAGAAGGAGATCTTTAAGCAGTAACTTGGATGTTCTATTTGTGGTGCGTAAAGTCACTGGTAAACTGTTCAATAAGAACTCTTTAAGAAGAAAGGTAGAAAGAGCTAGAGATGCCATAGAAACAGGATTGAATGTTGAAGTTGAGAAAGTATTCAATGATATTTGTACCAAGTCGATGTGCGATTCTGGACCTTGTGTCAGCCATCTTGTTTTTGATGACACCGACCTTGAACCTGTGACAGTTGGTGCTGATAGTTATGTATCTGCTCGACATCGATATATTTTCTTCTGTAACTGTTCAGATGGTAAGTAGACATTTTTTGACATTTAATCGTAAAATTAGTTTTTTTCCATAACATAGTTCTTGTATGCATGAAATATCATTTGAGATGTCCCAAAGCTTTTATTTAATTTTTTCAGAGTATCCTTATAATTTTTATCAATGTTGGTTTCCATGGTATTTTTGTAGGATCCTGTAATGGTGTAGTTTGTGGAGATAAGAGATGTTCAGCCAATCAGATCTGTCACAGAAACAACAACAGGTACTCATGTCGGTGTCCGTCTGGTAAAACAGGAAGTAAATGTCAAGATAATGTTTATTCACCATCAACTATCTGTAGTCCTGATGATGTAACATGTAAAAGGGGTGCGTACTATATACTGGTTTTCATTCATTCCACGACTTAAATTAAGGTTTATGTCTATTGTTTCTACATTTCAGTGGGCTTATAAAGATGCAGGACATCATGAAGTGTGCAATGAGGGTATTTGTGAAAGGACACCTCAATAGCCTACTCGTTTTGGACTTTCAAAGGATCTTATCATTTATCTTTAAATTTCAGGAAATCAACCAATGACTTTTAATGGTAAAAGTTTTGCGAGATGGACTTTAACAGAGACTACAGAGAAAAGATTGACATTATCATTGAGATTTCGAACACGTAAACCAAGTTGTAATGTTATGTATACCACAGGTCAAGTAGACTATAGTATACTGGAGGTAAATAGATTACTGACATTTGGTATTCTGATTTATATAGTTGAACTTTGATGATTTCAGTTTTCAGGTCAGCTGATTGGTTAAACCCTAAAATTGATTTTAAATCTAGTTTTTCCAATCAGATTACAGTATTTCTTGATTTTTGTCTAGTAATGTTTTTTTCTGAAACAGACCCCCAACCTTGAAAGCACCAAAAATATAACAACAATTACTACAACAACATTGTAACAACTGGCTCTGTTGTAATGCTTTAAATTTGACTATTCTGTGAATACAGTCATGTGGATGAATCACATTATGTTTCTGCTGTCTGCTTGTGAGGATTTGAAGCATCCTTTGATTACTGACTTTTTTGTGACTTACCAAACAAACTACAGAAATATGTACACATGAAACATGAAAATTAAGCCTTGCACTCTTGCAGTAACAAGTATTTAACTCTGTTTCACTTGAAGATTATAGTATCGACTTGTTGTATTTTCAGATTAAAGATAGTAATATTCAATACAGATTTAACTGTGGTTCAGGTGAAGGATTTGTTAAAATACCAGTAGATGTCAGTGATGGACAATGGCATCTGATTATGTTAGAACGTAATGGCCGAACTGCTGAACTATTTTTAGACCAAGGCTACAAAGCTATATCTTCTGCACCAGGCACTAATGATGAGCTGAATCTGGACTCATTTGATGTATATTTTGGAGCAGAAGTGGAGGTTTTTCCAGAAGGTTACAATGATATTAAGAGAGGTTTTGAAGGTTGTATGGAGGGTATTAGAATGTTTAATATATTATTACCATTTACTGGTACCAACCGTATTGCTATCAGTCAGAAATTTGAAGATGTGGAATTTAAATGTAAAGATTATGCCACCTTACCAACTACTGGAAGTAAGTGACTAACTTTCTAAATAAAATTATATTTACTTTGTAATTGTTGCCACTTGATATTCTATTTCTGTTAAAACTGTTCTGTTGAACTTTTGAAATTGGTTTTGTTTTTGCCATCCTGTTTGTCGTGTATGTTAAGCAGCAATGACTAGTGTGGCGTAGACACCATCACTTTTCATGAAATACATGAACACTAATGATTGATATACTTCCTCATGCGAAAAGTTCATGGTTAGCCATTATGTTGTTTTTGGGTTTCAGGTTTTGTTTTGGGGTTCGGATCCTTAGTACTTGGTTTATTTATTACTTGTAATTGTTGCCATCTGCTATTCTATTTACTTGTACTTAGTAATTCTATTGACTGGTAGTTTTTGTTACTTGCTACTCAATTGATTTGTTTTTATTGCCACTTTCAACTAAGTTTCTTCACAATTATTGCCACTCGTTAATCTTTTGATGTGAAGTATGTCTAATGTCTATATTAATTTCAGACATCTGTGGTAGACATCCTTGTATGAATGGTGGAACCTGTCAATATAGACAAATCAATTCCTACTTCTGCCAATGTATGCCAAGATATCAAGGTATAAGATGTGAAATTGATAATGATCCATGCCAGGATAATCCATGCTTTAATCAAGGTAATTATTTTACTATTAATTGATGACCAAAACCTTATACCATATAATTGTGAATATAATGCTCACCTATATATGCTAGAGTTTGTAAACACTCTAGAAGGTGACAGATTTTAAAGAAACTTGTTTACTGGAATTGTTTATTATTCCCCAAGGATGAACTCTATTGAAAAGCAGAAAAACTAATAATAATGATATATGGATTACTGCCCTTGTTCTTAATAAATTGAATTTTTAGCGGAAAACCTGGTGAAATTGTTTATTATCATATTATGATCTAAGAATGAACCCTATTAAAAATCAAATAAATAGTAAAAGACTGTAATTAAAGCTCTTGTAGTCTGAAAATGTCAGAAACTTTCATTTACTGATAGCTCTTGTCATCCTCCCTGACGACTTGGCTGCCATTACAATTGTGGGCGTATTAAGATGGTCATCGCTATTTTTAGTTTTTAGAAATAAAAAAACACGATTTCTACTTGATTCTTCGGGAGATTGATTGGCAGTTGAAATGATGTGAGTGAGGTGTAAATTGGATCTCATGGAAATTGATTTTATATTAATAAGTGAATTGAAATGAGGTGAAAATTACTTCTCATGGAAATAGATTTTTCTGGAAATTGTTGAAGTTGAAATGAGGTTATATATGTAAATGAAATTAGCGAAGATTTCTGCTCAGGTGACAATTGTCACGTAGGTTCAATGTTGTTAAGAATTAACATAAATAATGTTTTATCATATCAATGTCATGTACAGGAAAAAAAGCATAACAGAATGACTTCCTGAAGTTTACACCTTTGAACCTTTCAGTAAGAAATGGAACAAATATAATTAATATCAAACCAAAATTTTAATATGAACATGTTTATTCATAGTTCAAAATAAGAAATTTATTCATTCAACATGAACATGTCTGTGATATGACATTTATAGCATCCTTTATGTACCGGTAGTTGAATAAAACCGTAAATTATTTTTATGCATATCCTAAAGCTGTTTTAAATGCAGTTTTTCCTTTGTCTGTGACAGAATTCATTGTCTTATCATTTTGATGGCCAAATTTGGGTGCGGATAAGTGATGTCAAATTTGACTTCACACATTAGTAACTGTTCTGAATTGTAGCACTGAAAGGCTCAGCTGTGAAAATTGAAATAGCCCCCTGTTAATTCCTGCAATTCCACTAAAACTAAGTGATGATGACAATGACGTCATATAATCACAAAGGGCTTTATTCGATAAAGTAAATCCGCGATTATTGAATTGCAGGAACCACAAATGTCTAATTGAAAATTGGAATGTTGCAAAGTGATGCTGCTGATGCAGATAAGAAATTTCGAAAACCTCTTTACACTCCCTTTAACATGTGCAATTAAAAAAATTATACTACTTCCCTACTTCCCATTATACAGATGGTGTAACAGCCATTATGGTTTTAGTAAATGTTATTGAATGGAATGATTTTTGTAGGAATTTGTAATAAAGATAAAGATGTGATCAATGGTTATACCTGTATCTGCCCAGGGGAATTGAAAGGGAAACAATGTAAATATGGTAAATTTTGTCAACCTGATACGTGTAAAAATGGCGGTGTATGTATTGAGGGACCCAATTCACCATTATGTCATTGTCTATCAAAATATCAAGGTAAGAAGGTTTTCTTATCAAAACATCTTTTGGATATAAAAACCATCATCAGGAGAGCTGGTTCAGAAATTCCAATATGTGATTTCATGGGCATGAAATTGAGTGGATCTCTATCTCAGTATATAGGGGACTCTAGAATCTAAATTATAAAAGTTCATCTTGATTGTTTTGGAAATAAAATTAAGTGAAATAGAAAAAAAAAATGCACATATGTTCTGAATTTATAAAATGTCAAATTAAACTTGCTGTAAATCATATTTTTTATATATATGTATGATAAAAAGATAATCAATAATTTTTTTTATATAATATGAATTAATATGAAACTGAGATTAGATTAAGTAGATTATTAATTGAATATATTCAATATATTGTATGCATTTATATACACATGTATAAGTATGTTATGTAGAATACTGCAACATCTGTGAGTTATTGATTTCTGTCTTATAATTATAGTTATAGTTATAAATTTGAGTTTATTTCACACTTTAATAAATGAATTGTCATGAAATTCAACAATTTGACTATATTTAGGACTATATTGTGAAAAGATGGTGGATCCATGTGTTATCAATCCATGTTATGGAGGCGGTACTTGTATTAGTAATAATAATAATTATCGTTGTGAATGTACTAAAGATAGAATTGGACGACATTGTGAAGATAATGTATCTGTTGCTGCTTCTATTAAGATACCTGTAATGTTGATATACATTATTATTGGTAAGATTTATATAGAAAGTGCACTTGATGCATCAATGTTTTTGAACTTTGAACCTTTTGTTAAGGATAGTGGTCTCAGGGTTACATGGAGAAGCATCTCGTTGTTCGTATGGAAAGATAAACAAGGGCCTGTTTGCTCTAGGATTTTCACTTTTTGACAATTGAATATTGAAAGAAAAGTAGGTCGTTGTCTGGCATAGTTAGTCTCATTGCACACTGCATGACATAGCCCCATCAGGAGCAGAATAAGAATGTATAACATAAAAATGCCTTGCTTTCCACTTTTCATTTTGAATATTTTTTTCTTATATGAAATGTTCATTAGTGCAACCAATGTATTGAAAATATATTCTTATGGATTTTGGGTTTCGTTTTTTACGGTTTGGATCATAATTTCTTTGTTTTTTTGTTAATGCTTGAAAAGTTATTATATTATGTGTTTGGTGTTGTAGGTATAGTTGTTGGTGTCATAGCAATAGTAATACTTATTATTATTATTTGTTGTGTCTGTAAGCGACGTAGAAAGAACAGACGGCGATCTCATGATGCACACAACTCAAACGAACTCAACAGAATGTTACCAGAAGACAAAAAACGTTCTAATAAGAAGTTAAACGAGGAGATCTTACTATCCAATTATCCCAAAAATCCACCTCCAGTTCCAGATCGGCCTGTTTCTTACACACCTAGCAACCATGATTCTATGAACACATTGAACAATTTTGACAATGTCAGGAATTATGGCAGTGCAGCAGATGAACTGGAGAGAAGTGGCGTTCATAATATTCCATCTTTCTGTCCAGCAGACGTCTACACTCACAGATTTGGTACTCCACCTGCTGCTAAACATTATTATTCTACATTCCAATCACCCCCCTCTAATCCTCAATCAGATACTGACTCTATACAGAAAGATCCACAAGAGTATGAATATCCTACTAATTTCTTAGAGAACTATTCTGGTAAGTAACTACCCCTCTTTACAATGTCAAGCTATTATGAATTTTATACTTATACCTTGCCTGCAATAGTCACCTTCTTTTGAATGAAGTGGATGGTACACTAGGGGAAATAGCCAATCAGAAGCCTCAAACGAAAGTTTGTGACGAAAGCCATAATATTTTCTGTCGGTTGCTCTGATAGGCTGTATTCACTGGCATACAAGCCAACCTAATTGCTGCATTCTGTGATACAAGAATGGTGGTTATTGCAGTCAAGGTTTATGTTTGTTTTATAGTTGTTTTTTTATTGCTTCAAAATATTCAAGTTACTGTTTGTTGTTATCTCATATTATTGTGACATAATATTGTAACTATATGGCATATACTCTATATTATATGACAGGTAAATGATGGTTTGACAAATGTAAATGTTTGAAACAAGAGGTGTATTATATATATATAAATTTTAAAGGAACTCTACCACCTGAAATCAACATAAAATTTAAATTTTTTAACATCTATTTTAATATTTATTCTATATTTTATAGTGGACATAGGACAATCACCTCAGCAAAACTTTATAGACAAGGGTCTTTTAGGAGTAGATATACATAAAACACATTGGAAATATTTTCACAAACACATATTGAAGTTATGATTGCCATATGAAATATGGAAAATATTGGAGATATAAAGAAACATATTATGTATCAAAGTTGTCCGCCCTGTCACCATGAATGAATTGGTGCTGGGGCTCAGATTTTGTACTCAGAAAATTTGAAGAATTAAAGGCCTAGAGAACTCATTCTTAAAATTTTGCAGTGATTTTGTACAGTGACACTGTAAATGAATCAATCTCTGCTAAACTCAAAAAGGTATTGTTGGGGCTTAATTCTTACTTGCTAGGGCCCAGCCCCCATGGACTCCACCCTAACAGTGAGGCTGAAAGATGTGGACATTGCTAGTTTGATTTTGATGTTTATATACATGTATTTATTTTAGTTGAAAAGAAACCAGTAGATAAGATGACTATGAAATGTTTACCAGGAATGAGTCCCAAAGTAGTACGGAATGCCCTAGCTCAACATGATGCTAGTTCTGTTAGTAGTTTACCAGTATCAGAATCAGAGGATGATCTAAATGGTAAATATATTGTTATTATTTCCTGGGTTAGAAGTCACGTATTATGATATTGATGTTTTGAATTCTAAAAACTTGGTGAATGAAGTGTTTCTTATGTATGATGTATCAAATTGAAGCTATTATTAAAAAAAAAAATTTGTATCATACTGCTCTGGGCTAAGTTGTAACAGATGATTTATTTGTTATGCAATTGCTGTAAATGAGGATTACTCCATCAACTGGCCTTATATAAACTATATTGTTGTTATGATGTAAACAAATTTTGAGAAAGGAATCCAAGTTGTGATTAAAGGGTTATCATCATTAAAACTAATTTTTCATTTAGGTCCGATTCGTTTTGGTAACAAAACAGAAAGATAATCAACAGTTTGATATAATTAACAATTATCACTACGATTACTATCATTATCAAAATTATCATTATCATTATTAAAATTATCAAGATTGATTAAGGTCTGTTAGTTCCCCGCTAGACAAATGAACAAGAAAATTAAATACCAAGCAACAGTCAAATTCTAGAAAGCCTTTATTTCATTTACATTAGCAACTGTTTTGCTAAATCATCTTTATTAACTTCATGTGTAAAATGTTTTAAAAAAAAATTGTGGTTAACCCTTTCAACTCAAGCAGCCACACACTTAAGCAATATATACCTGCACAGCCGGTAAACCGTCTGTTACTAAGTGATATATATTCAAGTAATCAATGTTATCGTCATGTTTGTAATAATAGTGAAAGGATTTGGCAAAGGTTAAAAAACTTACAAAAAAAGTAATTCCTACTTATAACTGTCATATACAAGATTTTGAATATTCAGATCAGTGATTGTTGTCACCTTGAATGTTTTATTATGACATTTACTGGCAGCTACTAAGCTATCAAAAATTAGTTGATAATGTTCCTTTAACTTAAACATTTCCTATTATTTACAGCATTTAAAAATATTGTTATATAAGTATTATGATTAATTGTAATTAAATCTTATTTTCTTAAAAAAAATTAATATTTGTCACACTTCATGTAAAGGAATAACTATATGAATTACTTGTTCAAGGAGAAATGATGGTTATTATATAAGTATATCTGTGATATGTCATGTACATCCTCTGAACTTAAAAAGACAAAAGATCAGTAGAAAAACATCTTAATCAACTAGAGCTATAAGAGTCAGTCTACATGTAGCCCTTGACACAACAGCACAATATTCCTTTCACAATATTTGATTGGCTGAGACAGTAACTGTTATTGCATTGAAGAGTTTCTGAAAGAAAAACAATATTAAATTAAGCCTGGCGCAAAGACAGACTTTTATCCCCATCTGCAAAACTTTTGCAAAAAACAACTCATATAAGACCAAATTTGCTTGACAAAAAGGGTCATTGTCCAAGTTTGTGCTGCCAACAAAAACTTAATTGAACAAATGACAAGTTTTTCAGTGGACAAAAAAAAATTAGCTAATGGCTTAAAAAAATAAATACTGTTTTTAGTAATGATGCTACTCAAAACATCAGAATCTTATGAAATAGTGAAAGTTTCGTCTTCCTTTTCCTGGTCTTGCAAAATTGCAGTTAGATATTTCCTTATTCCTTATTATTTCATTGTCTAAAAAAATTGTTTACTCATTGGTGAAAATTTCTGCAAATTAAAAATGAAGGTTGACATGTGTGATTATCATGTAAGAAAGAAAATAAGGAAGATTCTGGAATCTAGAATATTAAAAGTATTTTTTTTTGTTATATAAATCTAAATTTGATTTCAAGGTCAGCATGTAACAAATGACACTGGAAAACGATTCATTTTAGTTTTTAAGGAGACTTTTTCATCTTCTACTGCCCACACAATTTCATTTGAAACTCCTTCACAATTTAATTCAAGTCTTTTAGAATTAGAACTTTCAGGAACTTAATTGCTTAGTAGGACAAACATGATTTTAACATAAGGTTACATGTACTCTAAGGAATGTTGCTATGTAGGTGTCATTTACCGTATGTAGCTATGTACATGTACATGTATGTAGTAATGTACATGTATTTTATGTGCATGTACATGTATGTAGTTATGTACGTGTAAATGTACGTTGTTATGTATGTGTAGATGTATGTAGCTATGTACATGTATGTAGTTATGTTAATGTACATGTATTTAGTATTGTATTGTACATGTATGTAGCTATGTATGTGTACATGTATGTAGTTATGTACTGTACATGTATGTAGCTATGTACATGTACTTGTATGTAGCTATGTATGTGTACATGTATGTAGTAATGTACATGTATGTAGTTATGTACGTGTAAATGTATGTAGCTATGTACATGTATGTAGTTATGTTAATGTACATGTATTTAGTATTGTATTGTACATGTATGTAGTTATGTACTGTACATGTATATAGCTATGTACATGTACTTGTATGTAGCTATGTATGTGTACATGTATGTAGTAATGTACATGTATGTAGTTATGTACGTGTAAATGTATGTTGTTATGCATGTGTAGATGTATGTAGCTATGTACTTGTATGTAGCTATGTACTTGTATGTAGCTATGTATGTGTACATGTATTTAGTATTGTACTGTACATGTATGTAGCTATGTATGTGTACATATATGTAGTTATGTACTGTACATGTATGTAGCTATGTATGTGTACTTGTATGTAGCTATGTATGTGTACATGTATTTAGTATTGTATTGTACTTGTATGTAGCTATGTATGTAGTTATGTACTGTACATATATGTAGCTATGTATGTGTACTTGTATGTAGCTATGTATGTGCACATGTATGTAGTTATGTACGTGTACATGCATGTAGTTATGTATGTGTACATGTATGTAGCTA